TTTAAAATAAAAAATACATTTATATTATGTTATTACATTACTGTATATTATGTTTATATTAATTTAAATTACATAAAATAACAAAAAAATTATGTTAAAATACTGTATTTACTTGTGTATAAGACAAGGCTATTATTCATTTTTCACTACTTCAAACACCTAGGTCATCCCATACATGCAAGTGAAAGATTCTTTGTGTTTTTGCAATAATTTTTGAATCACGTATTTGCATTTTTTACTGGATGCTCATTTTCTGGTGTTTAAAAACAAAACTATTTTATCTGGATCATTTGAATCGTTCTTGTGTATTGTCATAAGTAAAGATGAATAGCAATAGGAAAAGCAAAGCTTTTGAATTGAATTCCGAATTGAAATTCCAAAAATCACACAGGAGCCGATATAAGTTTGAATCCATTCCCATGTGAAAATGTGATTATTCAGAAATCAGAATTCGGAGAAATGCATAAGTGTGGATTCGACTGTTAAGAATATACAAAAAGTTCCCGATTGTCCAGCTTTACATGAAAAAATTATGTTATTGATTTTACAAGACTTTTTAAAATGTTTTTTAAACATAAAAAAAAATCTTGTAAAATCAACATACCAGTAATTTTTGTAGGACAACGTGTGCATTTAAGTGCATTTGATAATACTGTATTTTATTTTTGATTAAACAAAATGAAATTAGAATTGTATTAATAAATCTAATTTTCTTTATTTTGGTCTTTAAAGTCACACCTTGTCCTATATGTGAGATCATCTTATATGCGAGTAAATACAGTAATTCTTTATTTACTCTCCCTTGATCTGTACACACCTCTGCCAAAGAATGATGCATGAGTATGATGCTCATGCATCATTCTTTTTGAAATCCATTATTCCTTTCAAAGAGATGTTAGAGTTGTTATCACAGCTTTGTATGCCCATCAGATGCAATGCATTTACAACTCAACTTTCTTCAGTGACAGAAACAAAAAGAATTACATGGATGAATATGGAAATGTGGCAGGACTTCAGTTCCAACTGAAATCATCACTGGCTGCACAATATAAGCAATGCATAGTCTAGTGTTGTCATGATAAATAAACCACTTCAAATCAGCAAATTTGAACATTTATTATGAATTATCCAAATATCACAGTTTGCTGTTTGTTCACCAGACATACCGATATTTCGAGCTCCCCATCAGAGCTGCGAATATTCATTATACATCGGAAATGATCAGAAGGTAACAGAACTTTGTTCCAAAGAAATTGTAAAGGATTTTTATCCAATTTTTAGAAGAATTGACAAGCAAGGAACATGGGTATTTTCTACACCCTCTACATTAGTATTAGCAGTGAAATGTTCTGCTAAACAAAATAATTTGCATTCATTACCTTCTAGTATAAGTAAATTGAATAATGTTGGAATCATAAGATTGCCAAATACATGTATAGGATACTTACCTGGAATTATCCTCATTTCACATTTTCACATGAGATCAACGGTTCTCTCAAGAAGCAGCCCAAAGTTTATTATACCTCCGATCGAAACAATATTTTCCAAGATGGAATTAGAGAAATTGCAAGAGAGTATAAATCCTACAGAGAATCCTGAGAAGAATAAAGAGAATTCTAAGAAACAAAAAGATGATGACATTAAGGTAGCCGAAAAGTCAAACGAGCAAATGAAGAAGGATTTGGATAGATTATTGAAAGAAAATGAAGATCTTTTTATATCAAACACTCCAACAATTCCAATCACATACATATGGATTATCCTTGGAAGTATAGGAATATTAATTCTACTTATCTGCACATATTATATAGTCAAGCATATTTGTTGAAAACGAAGATTTGAAAGGAGAATAAAGAGAAGGTCACAACAAGACATTCCATTTCAAGAAATTCCTCAAAGAAATAATACAGAAGAAGAGGAACCGGAATTAGTCGAACCTGTTGGAAGCTCAACTGAACAAGCTTCAAGCTCAACACAGACAAGGAAGCACTTTGTTCGCACACCTCGATTTTAATCCCTACTTGATTTTCTTTGAATGATTATTTCATTGGATTGAACTTTTATTTGATTTATTGATAATCAATTTTTGTTCATATATATCTTTAGTTTGTAAGTACCTTTCCTAATAATAACAAAAAGCTTATTTAAAGGAATGTACACCCTACTCAAATTGATAAACTAAAGTGATTGATTAGAATAAAGATAATATTGTATAGAATAGTCTAGATATAAGACTTAGTGTAGTATTTGGAGAGAGAGAGACTTTATTAGAGATATGTATTTGTTAAACATACTACCTTTAAAATGAACAATACTTTGGTGAAAAAGAACTTTGCCCCAAAATGGATTTCAATGACCCTGGAGTCATACAACCTTTAATGAACTCAACCACCTGAACTTTTGTGGTTATGTTAAATGAAATTTCAGCAGAAAAAGAAGTGTGTCAACATACAGGAAGAAGACACATTATATCATTTTGAACTGCAAAGTGAACTTTGAACTGTTAGCAGGTGCTTTTTGAAACAAGAAGACATCACATGATCTTCTAATATACCTGAATTTTTGCAACTATAAGAAGTCAGCCAACAGATGTGCTGCCCCAAAACTCTCACACTGGTGTCAGAACTATGTCCACTTTTACCGTCGATTCCAGACGAAGACACCTGTGTTCATTGTGTTTATTTTAGTAATATATTTAATCTGATGAATTGTTTATTATATTATTTCCATGTATTTCAATTTTGAATTTAATTTGAATTATTGTATACTTTTATGATTTTATTATTATGTATAATGCAATTTTTAGAGAGAGAGAGAGCAATTCAAACTTATGTATTGCAGTGAAAAATCACGCCTTCTTTAAATGTAGTGTGATTTTTGAAGATAAGGGAGTAATGTGAGACCCGAAAGGCCCTGGGTCTAATTTATGAATTTTTATTAATAAGGGTAAAATATCGACACAAAATATTACTTCATTTTTTGTGAAAACTAGTGTTTTAGACGTGGGAAAAACCCAGATAACAGATGCTACTTCCTTTCACAGAAGAGAACATCCTCTGACTTTCCCTTATCTGGTTAAAAATCTCACTCAGATGGGAAATGGTTACCCCTCATTCATCCCCCTTTCATCCGTTCTCATGAAAGAGTTACTGGCCGATGATTGGTCGAAATTCAGGAGATATAAGGGGAATTTAGTCCGAATTCGAGGAGTTCTTCGACAGATCCGAAGCGTCTAAACTCCACACAGTTCTCCTCTTGATGACCAAACGCCCTTAAACGAGTCCCATAGACTAAGTCCCGAGTCTGAACTTAGTGAAGATACTTTTATATTTGTGCACGTATTGATCTCCCGTACGAAGAAGTAAATGAACTCTATCTACAAGGTGTCCCTTACCTACAGAGTGGAAGACGAACGACAACTAACCAGGTCGTATGGTTTATAATAATCTTGTGAGCTCTCTCTCGATCGCGCATCAGTATAGAATAAGTCTAAGCCAATATCGTGTAATCTAATTGTCGTTTTATTATCCCTCGTTCGTTGTAATTTGTTTTCGTTTTGTTTTGAATTATTAAATTTACTCTTGTTAAATTTACTTAAATGTCTCTTCAATTGATTCCGAATCAGATCTCATACGCGTGTTAATCCGCGTATAATAAGTGTGATTAACTGGTGTCAAGGAATCCTGACGAGCATCTGAACTTCGCCATTCGGATCATATAGCGGTTATCGCCCTCCTATATAAAACTTTTAAGATCGGATCTTACGATTCGAAACTTTAGAGAACTATTCTCACGGAATAGGCCGAGTAAGTGGCACCCTTTAGTAGGTACCCCCGGCTAATCTCACAAATTATATAATTTATTAAAGAATAAATTAAAAAATAAACTACTTTTTCATCATAAAAAATTGAAGATCACATAAAATTATTTATAATATAAACCAGTAATTGAAAACTCTAATGAAAACTTATATAAAATAAGAGAAATTATGAAAAATGTGAGACTATTAAAATTTTATTTTTTTAATCCATTTTTTTTCAAATTTTAACAAAGTATAGAATTCTATTTGTTTAGCAAAGTATTTAACAACATGATAATTCTGCATCATTTACAACATTTTTAATAACTTTTAAGAATAAGTTTTGCTAACATTTTCATAGTTTTTTTAAAAAATCAATTTGATGATCAGTTTACAAAAAACTGGGCAAAAAATATATTGCATTTTACATCTTTTAATACAAACTTTATTTATTATTTATATTAATTTAGATATGTTAAATAAATGCAAGAAACTTTACATGAAATTGATAAAGAGATTAGATTAATAACAGAGAATTATTTTTGTAATAATATTTTTTTAAAATTTAATGTGTAGTGTTCTCTTTAGAAAAAATTTTAAGTGGCTGACTTACAATATTAGCTGATTTGCTGCTGTAAATTTACTTATAAACTTCAGAATACTAAATAAATCAATAATCAAACTATAAATACTCAGTAACATACTAATCCATAGTCAGGTTATCTTTTAAAAAAGTTAAAAAGTGTTTAATTATTATTATATTTTTACTTCAACTGGTTATAGGAAATATTTAACTAATTTACTGATCAACTATAACCAACTTGAGGAGAATATTATGTATACAAGGAATTACAGATAAATTCATTTTCTTGTGCAATTTTTCAAAATTTTTAGAGACATTTGAGAACTATAGCATTAAAAAAAAAAGCCAGGTTTAAGAAATTTAATAAATCTAAAACACATCTGATAACTTGCTTAGCCACTTAATTCATCATAATGCTGACATGCCTCCTCAAAACTGAATTACAAATCATCTGGTACATATTACATAATTTAAAGTGTTATAAACAACAAAATGTAATTACAGCTTTAATTAAATATTATTTCTAAGAATATAAAATAAATTTTACTCTTATACATTTATTAGAAGAAATATTTATAGATATGAATAAATGTTACTAAATATAATTTTATTAATTACCTTCTTCATCAACCCATTTCATAGTAAATGGTTGCTTTGTATCAAATTTACAAATTTCTCTCATCTCCTTACATAATCCTTCCAATGTAATACCTGGTTCAATATACGTCACCATAATACCTCTAAAATAAAAATAAATATAATTAGAATTTAATGATATATAAATTTAATATTTAACTCTATTATTATTAACACTTCTCTTTTTTAATAATCACATTTGAAAAAAAACATGAGTGAATTATAGACTTTTTCCTACAAATTAAAACCTAAAAAATATTTAAAAAGTGAAAGAAATTTTTAAATAATATAAAGCTTGAAATAATAATAAATCAATTGCTATTGTAAGTAATGAATGAAATAAAACTAAAAATTTACTAATGTATTATTAATAAATTTATGAATTTCCTTATCTTACTGATAATTACATATACAGTAATACCTCGACTTACGCAAACCCGGAGTTACGCATTTTCAAATCTCGTCGATTTGTCTTTTGTTTGAGCGCCACGCAACTGATGATTACTCACCCCCAACTATTGTTCAGCTTACATGTTCGGACGTGTCGCGCGGAATTGACACATAAATAACACAAAATAAATTGTAGCTATTTCTATGTTTGTTATATCTACGGAGACTTGAGAGACTCTTTGTGGTGATTTCTTGTAACCGTGAACAAATCAAAAGACGAGATAAGATTAACGAGAACATTTATTAGCTTAAATACATCCGACTTGGATTTTACACAAATTGCGAAATTACACCCCGACTTATGCAAATTCAACTTATGCGGTTATTGCTTGGTCCCACCTATCGTGTAAGTTTGGGGTATTACTGTACACACATATACTGGATAGGCATATATCAGTCTGTATAAAAACATCTACACACTTAACAATCAAATTTACATTGAAAATGTATTATTTCGAACTAGAAAAAGTAAAATTTTTTCAGCAGAGCTCATGTCTATGAATAAGAGCCTATTATTTTTTGATATAACATAAAACAAAATACAGAAAACACAATAGTTATAAATTACAAAGAAAATATTAAGAACAAAATACAAAATAATAATATTAAATTATACAACCATAATGATATCAGATTATCTTAATAAAACAAATAATTCAAAATTAGCAAGGGGTTTTATCCTATAATAAAGTCTAACAATATTTATTAATAAATACTATATATCTGTACAAATAAGAGCATGATCTTAAAATCACTTTACATTTCTGAAACACAGATCATGCTTCACTTACAAGAGCATATCTCACATATAAAAGCATGCTCACATATTTGCCAGCTTGTTGTGGTTATAAGAGTACTGCACTGTTGTATGAATGACCTCATTTATACAGTAAAGGAAAAATCACTTTAAAACAACAACAACAATAATAATAAATACAAAGTGAACACCTCTGCATTTATGTGTACAGTAGTGGCAATTACCAATTTAAGAAATTTTATACTAAATCTAAAGATGTTTTTTTTACCATTGTCAGATTCTGATTTTCTGTGCTAGAGTTTATTATATATTTTACAAGTTTTTCCTGCAATAAATAGACTAAACTAGGAAAATTTAGTAAATGCTGTAGCATGTACTGTACATACAGAATATTGCATAAAAATTAAATTTGTATCTTCAAAGTATTTTTCTTAAGATGGGTTAAATCCAAAATTCCTCAAATCCAAATCCTGAAAAGCCTATAAATCTTTTGAATCCTCGAATCTCAAATCCTTAATACAGTGTGTTACTTGTAGATTTGAGATTTGTAGTTTTAACTGAAGTGGTATTAAAAGTCTAGCAGTACTGAATGTCAGCTGGCAAGTCCGTTACAGATACCAACATGTAATGCAATGAATAACTTTTACATTTTGAACTTTACACTGTCCAGATGCCAGGAAAAGTATCTGGTTCAGCATCAGTGTCATCATACATTACAAAAATGATCATCAGATTGTCACAACATAACAAGAAAAATTTTAAATAAAAAGCTACTTTTATTTTTAAAAAAGGCTAAATAAAAATTCCAGATTTATTTATAAAAAAATTTATAAATCTTCAGTAAATAATACACAATTGTAAGTACATAGTTTTAAAAAAGTAAATATTGAAAGTATCAAACTGTAATTTAAATTTAGTTTATGAAATTGTCAAAACAATTTTACAAGACAATTATCTCAATAACCTAAAACCAGCAATAAGAGCACTCACTTTAAAACATTGAATGTTTTCTTCCATCTTGAATGGACATTCTCCGACTAATATTCAAAAACAGAATGCATATTTTGAAACAAACAGGTTTGAATTTTGTTTGAAATGATAATTTTGCTACGTCTGATTCTTTTTTGGTTTTACTCTTTCCACCCCATCTATATATATATATCCCATTCAACGGGTGTCTGTCCTGTAACCGTTTGATAACGGACACTAGAGGCGCCCCTATTGTGTGTCATATTTCAAACATTCAAATTAACAATTTTAATTCTTATTTAAATTAACAATATAAATTTTTATTATTCATTTGGCCCATAAATTATTATTTGGTCAATATAACAATATAAATAATGAATGAAAATATAGTTCCCTTCACGCCAGCCTTTAGAAATTAAAATTATGACACTTATGTGTTGCGGCGTTATTGACAGCGATTTGTTAAATTTCAGATATGTTCGCTAGTACTTTCAACAGTTTACGACTGTCGTCTTCAGGCGAAATCGAATACCTTTGTTTTCGAATTGATAGCTTTTAACGGACTTTTCAAATTACGTAATGCACGAGATCGGAATGTAGAACAAATTAATAAAATTGAATTAATAAATATTTTTTTAAAGTAACTTGCTGTAATAACTTGAACTCCCCAAATCATATAAATATTGATTGATGGTGCCGTATATGGTGGTAGAATAAAATTAGATCACAAAATTATAACTTGGATTGTTTAAATAAAGTTATCCATAGCTGTGGTATTTCCAACGTCGGCGCGTTGCACGGCAAAACAGCAGATATGTACAGGTTTTCCCATATAAATATTTGTCTACGATCATTGCAATGCTTAAGTAATTTAATGTTGTTCCAAAGTGGAAGATAATTTTGGTCTAGAACCTTTTTCGCTAATTCTGTAGCTGGTCTGTTGTTTCTAATATCTTCTTGATGTTCGAAGATACGAGACCGCATCATTCTGCTGGTAGCTCCAATATACATAATTTCCTCCCCTGATGTTGTATGTTTTAATGGAATTATATAAACCCCCGATTTTTCATTCAAGGTGAGAATGTCTCTGTCGTTGCACAATGTTCTTCGTAGTGTCGGTTGAGGGGTTATAGGCAATATAAAACCATGCTTCCTGAATATGCGCGTTATTTTTAGTGATATGGTGCCCAAGTACGGTATTGGAGGGTTTATTATCTTTAGGTTTTCTTTGTTGCTGAGGAAAGATTTTGGAAATAATTTATTTATGACCCGGTTGTAGAGATATCGATATTTGGAATTAGAATATCCGGCATTGTGCATTGCTCTTTTGATGATTTGTAATTCTTCATCAATTAATGCCTGGGAGGATGGAATGAGGAGCGCTCTCCGAATAAGCGAAGTAATAGCAGAGTTGACGAAGC